ATGGGCTGTGTCCATCCCGAGGATTGGTGGTGTGGTGACCCGGTGGCGTCCAGCGATGTCTGCTGGGGGCGAGGTATGACCCAGGTGTGACGCTATTAACTGACAAATCTATTTCATCCCATGTGTAAGTCTCTTGCCAGAATATCACTTCTTTGACTTGCTAGAGATCTTATTTGTTTCACTGTTTTGTATTTATCTTTTCATGATGCAGTTGTTCAATTGTTCACGGTGTAGAAGCTAAAGTCAGTGACCAAGTAGTTTAGGTTAGGGCAAACAATAACAGTACTTTCAGTCCGGCTTCCTAATTTGACCTGTTCCTGGCGACGGTCGTTTCCTGTCGCTGTTACCGAATTCGCGGAGGTGACCACAACAGGTTGAGGTGAGCCAGTGTCGACTCCATGATATGTAGTTGCACAAGACTCATTAGGTAACAATTTGACATTAGACAAGACTTTGAAAGACTCATTAATTTCAGTAAAAATTGTAAAAGTACATTTCTAAAAGATTTGTAAATGTTTGGGATATAGTTATTTGTTCATGGGTTCAACCAGTGTGGTTAACCATCTTATTTTATTATATATAAGAGGAGGATTGCACTATCGTCAGCTTTAAAAGTAACATTTACATTGTGGCTATGCCACATCAACATGTCGTGCTTGGGTGGGGAGTACAGTCATTTCAGATTGTGCAGCTGCACACCGATATCTGCGCAGCAGAAAGGCAAAGTTGGTAAAGAAAGGTCCGATGAACGGCAAGCAGTGGCAGGCATGGGGTCCTCCGCTGATCGATCTGAAGTAACATGAGTGGACACCCGGCAAAAACCACACAAAGCAGTATACACAAGGTCATTACGAGAAAGGCTGCAGGCATGGGGTCCTGCAGTCGCCAGTCCAAGAATTTTGGTAGCTGAAGGCATAGGGCCAAGCTACCTCCAACCCAACGAAAGAAACACAGGTATTTTGTATAAAGGGCATTCTAAGAAAAACAAAACAAAAAAACAAATCGGCATGTGAAGTACTATGCTGAAGAGAATTGTGTATACATTGAATGAAAATTCTGTTAAGGAAATGTAAAACAACAATTGGCAAACTTGATTTCTTTATCAAAATGCTATGGTTTAAATAAATTTTGGGTAAAAGTTTAATTGTGGAATTAGTACAATTTTACGCATGTATGGGATATGGGAGGGGAACAAGTGTGCAAGTATGTTTCAGTTTGAAGCTGATGCAGTCCAGAAAGAAAAGAAAGCAGATTGTGAGCAGCGTCTGTGTGAAACTCCGAATTGTGGTTTGTTCTGTAACTGTTACTAGCAAACTTTAAAGAAAGAAAAAACCTTAGATTCAGTGGTCCCTTTTGTTTTGCTATATTTGTTATAGTAAGAGGGAACTCTAGATTCCTGGGGAGCAGTAGGAAGAAATAATTTTATCTAGCAGGTGACTGGATGAAAGGCGACATACAAAATTTGGTTGTGTTGGCTGAGGTCTTCAGCAGTTCTGCAGCGTTTGGGAATGGGTTCATCGTATGCCAGAATTGTCTGGAGTCAGGTAACATTTGTAAAAGACAATTTTGCATTTTTATGTTTCCATTTTGTGTTGAAGCTTGGCAAAGCCTTAAACTGCTCTAGCTGTCTTACTCAAATTTTGTTTCAATGTTGCAATTTGTAAAAAGGCCTTTAAAGCTAATGTATGTGGTGGAAAAACGATAACCCTTAACAAAGTAGGGCATAGTGGAGGGAAAGTTTACTGCAGACATGAAGTCCTGGAGATGGATTCGGCTCCATCGGAGTGCCCCCTGTCCCCTTCTGCACCCCCCCTTGTCATCAAGAATTGTGGAATGCTTGCAGCATGGCAGACATGGCCAGATGGATCACAAGGTTCTTAAAGTTGAATAAGGTAACAGCATAACTTGATTTCCTAGATTGTTTTATAAAGGAACGTTGCTTTCTTAAACACACAACATTTGTATGACATGGATCTGTGATCAGATTGTTGGAGAAAAAAAAATCTTTCCGTTGACCTTCTGTAAAGGGTTGGCTTTTTTCCTAAGGAACTAAATCTTCCATTTCTTGCTTGTAGTTGGATTTTTTGTGCATCAAGGTGTATGTACAATAGTACTTCATGGAAAATGTGCAAGATAAACTGAGTGGTCACAAACTCTTCATAAGTATTTCCTTCACTCTGTTAATGTAACTTTGATTCATCAGATGCTGTACTTTTGCATGCATTTATGAATGTTTTGGTTACCAGAGGCAGTAAAATAAATGTATCATCGTAGTTTCTCAATCATTTAGAATCTGTAACTATTTGGCATTAATTGCTACTAATAGTAAAGGTTTGGATAGGGGCTAGGCTTTGGGTGTTTAAGAATATCTGCAGATGCGGCAGGATGCTGGGAAGCTTCAGGAAGCCTTGCATCGAGTTGTCAGATGGGATTCCTGGAAGAGGTTCAAAGGAGAATGTTAACGGTAACGGGGCGCAACTGATTTGGGTTACTAGCAGTTATGTTTCTACAATGGTCAACTTTACCTTCCTTCAAAGAAGAGGACTGACAAATATAGGTAACGTGTAAGTATGGAAGAATCATTCTGCAAGATAACTATGAAAATTGACTATTATTGGTCAGGTCCACCATTAGGGGGATAGTCGAAGATAAAAATAATTCTTGTTAACAAGCTTTTGATGCAATTTTGTGAAGGTTGAAAAGCCAGACCGCAATTCTTAGAAATCTAGGCACACAAATTGTGGATAGGTGTGGGCTAAGGCTCCAATCTTTATGAATTATGTAGGGGTCTTTCATTACCAGAGTATCAAAACTTATTCTTGTGCCTCGTGTTGATACCCAAGGTTCATAAGAAATTATATTCTCTTCAGTTGAGTTACTCTCAATTAATTTCTTATTACTTGGAGAAAGGAACCACTTAGAAGTAGAATAGTTCTAGTTGAGCTGGTCTCAACTCATTCTTTTCTTGTGGAGAATTTTACATGCAGAATCTAGTAGAACAAATTGTTTTGTGAAGTAATTTTCATGATAATTTGTGAATCCTCAAGGTCCAAGGTCCATAAAAACATAAATCTTTCAGTTGATCAGATCTTGGTGTAGAAGTGCATTCTTGCTGAGAAGCTATCAACATGTTCTTATTCCTTAGACCTGATAAACCAGATCTCTAATTATATTTATTTGAGGGTTATGTCTGACATCAGATTTGTAATTGTAGGGCATCTGCTCTGCCTAGGTATGTTATATGAACACTTGATATAACGATAGTAGCTCATGAGAGTGAGGGGAAAAAAATGCATTAGGATAAGCAAGTAATAACTTCTAGTATGAAAGTTTTAGAAGTGATAGGGATGCAGTTTACTAGAAAATAGTTGCCTATATGGACCCTTAGATGTTAGTTATCCATTGTGGTAATTGATGTTAGTTGTGCAAAACTGCAATTATCCATCCTAAACATATTGTCTGAGATAAATGTGGGGGAGGGAGGGGTGTTCACTCTCTAGTATATGCACAGAATTTAAGCCCAAATTTGAAGGTGGCCTTTGTCATCGGAGATTATCTACAAAGTTGCAGACGTCGCCTATCTTCCAAGCTGCATCGAAGGTATATGCTGATTTTAGAAATTATTTGTAAAGATTATTTTACTTCTGTGTGCGTAAATTGATGAATTGGTTGAATATGTAGTTGCAATTGTGGGGGGGAGGGGCAAATTATGTTCTTCTAGTGTATATGCAGAGGGAAGGTCCAGGCTGTGAACCATCGGTTATCTGAAGAAAGCCCATGCTTCTGCCTGCGAAGGATCAAAGGAGGCCTCGATTCCATTGCTGCTTTTCTTTGTTGCAGGAGGTTTGAACTTGAAAGAAGTATTTAGAAATAACTTGATGTCAGTCTTGAAAATTCATTAACAAGTTCAAATATTTTCTTCTTTTATTTGACATGTGATTGTTTTAGTATACATCTTCTGTGAGAACTTGCATTCTGTATGTTATGAGTGCTAGCTTCTTTTTTAAGCAACTTTTGATGAGAGACCTTATAATACTGGTCATTTGTATTGGAAAGAAAATGTTTTTGTGTGGAGAGCATGGGTTTTTCTTCAATAGGACAGTCTGGTTTTGTGGAGACAAGTAACATGGTGATTGCTGCCCGAGTGAATGTTTTGCGTTCCTGATTCTGGGCTGACGCTTTTGCTGTGTTCCACTTTCCTTACATCTTGCTTGTTTACAGGTAATGTTTACCATGTGCTTATATCAACCTGTTATACGTTAGATAATTTGGTTAGTCATTCATGCAGCTAGCATAATGCACTCATTGGTTTAGATGTGGAAAATATGTAAAGGTTCAAAATGAGGGGAGAGGGGGGGGAAGCATTTACTGCTGTAGCATTCGCAGAACTCTGATGCAACATCTACTATCCCGTGTGGGGAGACCAGGATCAACATCCATATTTCTTCAAAATCTGACATCTTGTTACTTCAGAAGAGGTATTCAGAAGAGGTATTTAATATAAACATTGAAAGCCTGTCACTTCTTGGAGAGACCTAATGTGTGAAACATGTATTGTTGACTATGGTAGTCCTAGATGTACTTTTACCCCTAAAATATTTGGGGAAGGGAAAAGGGAAGGTCTTTTTTAGTAGGCTGCTGGAGGCGCCCTCTGCTCTGTGGTAGTGGATCAGCACTTGGCTTGTGATCAGACTGAGCAGCATACTGAAACTACAGCCAAGAGAAATTGAACTCCCAACACACAACCTACAACCATCAGCTCCAAATTTCCTAGAAGGAAGGTAACTGCAGTTGATGGTTCTGCATATCATTATACAAGTGTATTTGAAATTATACAGATAAGATTTTTTTGAGTAATTAGAAGTCATGGTGAATAAGACTGAAGTGGGTTATCAAGAATATGAAGGGGAGGGAGGGGTCGGGACATTTATTATATATTTATTTATACAGAAGTGTGTCCTGTAAGGACTGCAGGTCTGTACCGCTACAGGGCGATGAAAGTGCAACCCTTAAAACTTCAGTAATCCAGAGGTCTACATTTTTGCATTTTTGTAATTTGTTAGATTACTTAAATTTGAATTTGTAGAGTTGACACCAAGCAGATTTTGGAAATTAAGCTTTAATAAAGTTTAGGGACTCCTCTTGATGTCACAAAGATAGAATTTGTTAGTTCATGGGGTAATCTGATAATTCAGTTGGGATTGGGGAGAGAAGTTTACTTATTTATAGGTAAGGAGCAGCACAGAGGAAGCCAATCCGTGCACTTTCCATCACCCAATTAGTTGGATCATCAAAAGAGCTCAAAGGGTCATCTCCCATTTTAATCTTCATGGCTACACCAGTAAAGGTATCGTCTTTGAGTCATTGACCAAGTAAAGTCTGCATGCCCTGATTTTAAATCTTGGAACTAGTGTTGAAATATTCAGAAAAATGGATGGGGGGAGGGAAGGGGGGGGGAACACTTATCATTTTGCATCTTAAAGGTACAGAGGTGTGAGTGACATCAGTATGGACTGCCTACTGTTCTACTTGTGATGCTGCTCCATGCTGTTGGTAAATGAATGTAGATTTGGTTACTTTATTTGATTTTCTACCAGCACCAATGGCTGATTTTTCTGTATATAAACCCTAGTGATTGAGTTAGCATTTTATTCTCTTGTTTATTCTCTAAAGTAGAATCGAGAAGATTTGGGTTTGGGGTCGGGATGATGATGACTTACCTCGGTTTCAGATAGTGGAGGGGAGAGATGGGGGTCCATGAGAAGGAATCATGAGTGAACTGAGCTGATGAAGTGGAGCAGTGATGAAGGTTGTAACATATTGGTGAGTTTTGTCAATTAAATCTTAGGGCGTAGAAAATCTCAAATTTTACCATTTGACGAGCAATAACATACACTTGTTTTATTTACTGGTGCATGAGCCTTATGTTGGATGCTCTTTCAGGTAATCTTTATGAAGATCTGCTACATATACAGCACCTAACAGCTAGTGGGAATTGCATATACCCTTCAAGATGCTTCAGTTTCTCTTGCTATAAATACGAACTTGTACATTTATTTTTTTGCATTGCATTTATATAGTTCATGTTTCATAGATTATTATGAACTTGTTCTGTTGTTGCTATATGTTATGTATTTGTATAAATTGAATATTTTTATCTGATTTTGAAATAGTCATAATGTATTGTGAAATATAACAGTAGTGTAAACATGGAGGAAAATATCTTTAGTATTATTGTGGCTCAGGTTTTACACTAGTGTCACATAAATACAAGGATGGACACTCTTTTGTAATTCCAAGATGAGTTACAAGAAGAGTGGGAAAGTGGGTGGGATTTTTCCTTCATGTAAACTGTTTACTAAGTTTGAAGACGGATACAAATGTTGTTGACTGATTTGTCATGGCTTAGCAATTCTTGCAATGTTTTTGTCTGGGCATATTATGGATATACATGTAATGTATTGAGTTGTGGTGAACTGAAGACCGCCTTCAAAAGCTTCATGCATGCAACAGGGACTTCAGTTGAAGCTTAGCTATGGGAAACATACAAGGTTTGTAATTTAAACGAGTTAAATATTAGTTTACGAATACCAAGTTATCACTTGAGAAAGTGCATACAATAGCGTCACTGAGGAAAGTGTATTTAATTGCTTTATAGCATTTTTTAATTTATTAATTATTATTATTTTTTTTTACAACAACAGTATTATATATATTACAGGAAATAGTTGAGGGAGGGTTTAGCTGAGCCATGTAGGACAAATGGAAACGCATCACAACACATACTTCTAATTTTTGGTAAGCATCTACACTGAATGTGTAACACATTTACTGGAAAGAGATTTAAAATATGTAGATTGTCTTAAAATTTTATTAAAGACCAATTGAGTAACTCAGGCTCCCACGTATATTGCAGAGAGGCTGTGAGCTTTACAATGTCTGCTGGGAAGTAACATGCGCAGGGTGCTTTGGGTGGCTATTGCCGTATGGCACAACATATGGCGTCGAAGGTGGCTGCGATCGGGACGGGCTTCAGCGCTTGGTTTCCTGTGCCATGGATGAGTTGTCAGCGCGGCTGAGTTAGTCTAGGATGATCGTTCAGCGGGGCTGAGGTTGCGCCATGCAGGAATGGTCAGCGGGGCGGTCCCTACGTCATGCAGGAGGGTTCAGAGTGCAGAGGCTGCGTCGTGGACAAGGGTTCAGCACGGCGTTCCCTACAGCATGCAGGAGGGTTCAGCGCGGGTGGGGCTGCGCCGTGGACGAGGGTTCTGCGCGGCAGAAATTGCACTTCAGCGCGGCAGAACGCGAGGTTTCAGCGCGGCAGAAATTGCCGTAGGTTTGAGCAGAGGCTGCCGTGGACGCGAGGTTTCTGCGCGGCAGAGGCTGCCGTGGACGCGAGGTTTCTGCGCGGCAGAGGCTGCCGTGGACGCGAGGTTTCTGCGCGGCAGATAGCAGAGGCTGCCGTGGACGCGAGGTTTCTGCGCGGCAGAGGCTGCCGTGGACGCGAGGTTTCTGCGCGGCAGAGGCTGCCGTGGACGCGAGGTTTCTGCGCGGCAGAGGCTGCCGTGGACGCGAGGTTTCTGGACGCGAGGCTGCCGTGGACGCGAGGTTTCTGCGCGGCAGAGGACGCGAGCAGAGTGGACGCGAGTTTCTGCGCGGCAGAGGCGCCGTGGACGCGACGCGGCAGAGAGAGCGCGGCAGAGGCTGCCGTGGACGCGAGGTGCGCGGCAGAGACGCCAGCGCGGCAGAGGCTGCCGTGGACGCGAGGTTTCAGCGCGCGCTGCCCGCGAGTTTCAGCGCGCAGACCGTGACGCGAGTTTCAGCGCGGCAGAGGCTGCCGTGGACGCGAGGTTTCAGCGCGGCAGAGGCTGCCGTGGACGCGAGGTTTCAGCGCGGCAGAGGCTGCCGTGGACGCGATGTTTCTGCGCGGCAGAGGCTGCCGTGGACGAGGTTTCTGCGCGCAGAGGCTGCGTGGACGCAGCAGAGGCTGCCGTGGACGCGATGTTTCAGCGCGGCAGAGCTGCCGTGGACGCGAGCAGAGGCTGCCGTGGACGCGATGTTTCAGCGCGGCAGAGGCTGCCGTGGACGCGATGTTTCAGCGCGCAGAGGCTGCCGTGGACGAGAACGCGAGCAGAGGCTGCCGTGGACGCGATGTTTCGGCACGGCAGAGGCTGCCATGGACGCTAGGGTTCAGCGCGGCAGAGGACTCCAGGTTTCTGCGCGGCAGAGGGTGCCGTGGACTCCAGGTTTCTGCGCGGCAGAGGTGGGGCGCGCAGAGGCTGCCGTGGACTTCAGGGATCGGCGCGGCAGAGGGTGCCGTGGACTCCAGGATTCGGCACGGCAGAGGCTGCCGTGGACTCCAGGATTCGGCGCGGCAGAGGGTGCCGTGGACTCCAGGATTCGGCGCGGCGCCGTGGACTCCAGGATTCGGCGCGGCAGAGGTGCCGCGGACTCCAGGATTCGGCGCGGCAGAGGGTGCCGTGGACTCCAGGATTCGGCGCGGCAGAGGGTGCCGTGGACTCCAGGATTCGGCGCGGCAGAGGGTGCCGTGGACTCCAGGATTCGGCGCGGCAGAGGGTGCCGTGGACTCCAGGATTCGGCGCGGCAGAGGGTGCCGTGGACTCAGGTTTCGGCGCGCAGAGGCTGCCGTGGACGCGGTTTCAGCGCGGCAGAGGCTGCCGTGGACGCGATGTTTCAGCGCGGCAGAGGCTGCCGTGGACGCGATGTTTCAGCGCGGCAGAGGCTGCCGTGGACGCGATGTTTCAGCGCGGCAGAGGCTGCCGTGGACGCGATGTTTCAGCGCGCAGAGGCTGCCGTGGACGCGGGGTTCAGCGCGGCAGAGGCTGCCGTGGACGCGGGGTTCAGCGCGGCAGAGGCTGCCGTGGACGCGGGGTTCAGCGCGGCAGAGGCTGCCGTGGACGTGGTTTCATCTTGTTATAGGGATCAGGAGGGTGATGCTGCGCCATGGACGAGGTTTCAGGCGGCAGATGCTGCATCTTGTAGGAGGGGTCAGCACGGGAGAGAGAACGACACGGATCCAAGGCTAAGTTAAAATTATTGGTACAACTCACAACCTTTTAAGGGGATGTATTTGTAGATGTAATACAGGAAGTGAAGGAAATGTCACCGCACTCAAAACTCCTTATTAAGGGAATTTGTGTAAATTAATTTATTTCATTATTTGTTAATAGTACTAGAGCATTCTCTTATCCAGCAGAATTTAGTTCATAGATTTGTCCTCAGCCTTTCGATGTCACTTTTGTAGTAGATTATCAGACTAACACTAGGCGAGAATCTTTCGAAAACATACTAGTTGGCCTATTGTCAAACAGGTGGATGGCGGATAATTCCTGAAAGCGAGATTTGTATCAAGGCCACAAGGGCGCTGCCTGTGGGTGGCAAGGCCGTTCATCTAGAAGGTGGCTTCGCGTGGGCGAGCTCGCCCAGATAGAAGGTGGCTTCGCGTGGGCGAGATCGCCCTGGTAGAAGATGGGGTCCCGAGGTCGAGATCGCCCTGGTAGAAGATGGGGTCCCGAGGTCGAGATCGCCCTGGTAGAAGATGGGGTCCCGAGGTCGAGATCGCCCTGGTAGAAGGGGGCCCGAGGTCGAGATCGCCCTGGTAGAAGACGGGTCCCGAGGTCGGATCGCCCTGGTAGAAGACGGGGCCGAGGGCGAGATCGCCCTGGTAGAAGACGGGGTCCCGAGGTCGAGATCGCCCTGGTAGAAGACGGGGCCCCGAGGTCGAGATCGCCCTGGTAGAAGATGGGGCCCCGAGGGCGAGATCGCCCTGGTAGAAGAAGATCGCCCTGGTAGAAGAGGGTAGACTGTAGAAGGGGTCCCGAGGACGAGATCGCCCTGGTAGAAGATGGGGTCCCGAGGGCGAGATCGCCCTGGTAGAAGATGGGGTCCCGAGGGCGAGATCGCCCTGGTAGAAGATGGGGTCCCGAGGACGAGATCGCCCTGGTAGAAGATGGGGTCCGAGACGAGAGAAGAGTCCCGAGGACGAGATCGCCCTGGTAGAAGATGGGGTCCCGGGGAGATCGCCCTGGTAGAAGATGGGGTCCCGAGGGCGAGATCGCCCTGGTAGAAGATGGGTCCCTGGTAGAAGATGGGGTCCGAGGCGAGATCGCCCTGGTAGAAGATGGGGTCCCGAGGGCGAGATCGCCCTGGTAGAAGATGGGGTCCCGAGGGCGAGATCGCCCTGGTAGAAGATGGGGAGGGCGAGATCGCCCTGGTAGAAGATGGGGTCCCGAGGGCGAGATCGCTCTACAAGAAGGAGCGGTCCCGAGGACGAGGTCGCGGTCGCTCTTCCAGAAGGAGCGGTCTCGAGGACGAGGACGCTCTGCCAGATCCCGAGGGCGTGTTCCCGAGGGCCACGTCGTGTTCCAGAGTGAGACGTCCGAGCGTGTTCCAGAGACGTCCCGAGGGCGGCGTGTTCCAGAGTGAGACGTCCCGAGGGCGTGTTCCAGAGTGAGACGTCCCGAGGGCGTGTTCCAGAGTGAGACGTCCGAGGGCGTGTTCCAGAGTGAGACGTCCCGAGGGCGTGTTCCAGAGTGAGACGTCCCGAGGGCGTGTTCCAGAGTGAGACGTCCCGAGGGCGTGTTCCAGAGTGAGACGTCCCGAGGGCGTGTTCCAGAGTCGAGGCGTGTTCCAGAGTGAGACGTCCCGAGGGCGTGTTCCAGAGTGAGACGTCCCGAGGGCGTGTTCCAGAGTGAGAGTGTTCCAGAGTGAGACGTCCCGAGGGCCAGAGTGAGGTCCCGAGGGCGTGTTCCAGAGTGAGACGTCCCGAGGGCGTGTTCCAGAGTGAGACGTCCCGAGGGCGTGTTCCAGAGTGAGACGTCCCGAGGGCGTGTTCCAGAGTGAGACCAGAGTGAGACGTCCCGAGGCGTGTTCCAGAGTGAGACGTCCCGAGGGCGTGTTCCAGAGTGAGACGTCCCGAGGGCGTGTTCCAGAGTGAGACGTCCCGAGGGCGTGTTCCAGAATGGTCGAAGTCACACTGCAAAATGGATTAGTCCGTCAGGGTGAGTTTGCTGCCCGATCGTTCCAATAATGTCATTTGTGGATCACGGAAAGGGAGCATTATGATTTGGGGAGAAGAGCTCAACGTTTGCTGTCGCAAGTATCAGCCTTGATGGAAATCTGAATCAATGAATGGGATGAAGATCGGGTTAGGACGAATCTTCATTTACAGATAAGGCCTCAATAAGAAAAATAAATGGATAAATAAAATTCTTTAAAGGTGTTAACGCCACCACCAGTTATTGTGAACAGTATACTATCGTTTTCATCTACTCACCAGAAGTGTGGAGACAATGTAGAACTTTGACTGATATCGTTATGTTTCCATTATTCTTCCTGTGAATATTGCTAATCATGAAGGTGAATTATTAATATTTCGTAAGTCGAGGTCAAAGATGGTCATATTTTTCAAGAAAACAAATGTCGTAGAAAAGAAAAATCGTCGTCCTTGTGAGCAGACCTAGAAATGCATATTTTGGAGATTATGGGTTAATTGCGTATGCGTTAATGAAAGACCTGGAAAAGAAACTTCGTTGGGAAGGGGATGTCTTGTGAATTAGGTTGCGGAGAGGTCAGAATAGTCTAGGGAATTCAAGGTCATCCACTTTCTTGTGTACTATATTTCATCTCTAAAGGATCGCTGCGAGATCATCGTGTATAGCCTACAGATCCGTGTGGGTGTTTTTGAAGATCCTCGAAGAGCTAAAACCTTTGTTGTTCCTGTGTATAGAATGTAAATCATTAAGAATGGGTGGTGTGCCAAGAAAACGGGTCTTGGCCGGATCTTTGGTTGTTCAGTGGAGAGAGTGCCTTTGTGAAAAATTAGCAGGAGGTTGGCATCGACATTGGGGAGTAAGCTGGGTATCATCTTCGTTCGTTGTCTTGGGGAGGAAGACGGATTGGATCTTAGTCGTTGCCTTTGTGTTGGGTATTCGTCATCTTAGAAGAGAAAAATGTCATCACCATTGGGAAGAAGATGCGGATCCTGGTCGTCGCCGTTACCCTGAAGAAGAACCTCGCGATGCCTCCGCTTTATCGAGAAGAGGGAGTGGTGATGTCGCCATCGACAAGGCATGAGACGTGGTTCGACGTCGTTTTCTGGTAAGTCGTAGTTGGGAAGATTATGCTGAAGGAAATATAGTTTTGGATAGAAGACTTATGAGTTGAAGATCTAAATTACATTTTTTGAGATCCCTACTTGTAATCTTGCTTCGTTCGGCAGAAAAATGCATCAATTGCCGTCAATTGGAAGAAAGTCGTAGCAGCCGTCGCCTCTGGTCGCAGTGTTTCCTGAAAAGAAAGGTATAATTGAAGCTTCAACAATATCGCATAATGTTTGAGCTAACCCTTCATGCTCAATACGTTATTGGAGTGAAAATACTTATTAAATACTAGCTTTTGATATATTTCAAGGAATAGGGCGAGATGGAAGGTACGTGGATCGTCGTCGTCGTCATCGTCGGGAAGAGAATAGGACGTGGAACGTCGTCGTCGGGAAGAGAGAAGAGGATGTGGAACGTCGTCGTCGGGAGGAGAGAAGAGGACGTGGTCGTTCGTCGTCGCCGGAAGAGAGAAGAGGACGTGGGTCGTCGTCGTCGCCGGGAAGAGAGAAGAGGACGTGGGTCGTCGTCGTCGCCGGGAAGAGAGAAGAGGACGTGGGTCGTCGTCGTCGTCGCCGGGAAGAGAGAAGAGACGTCGTCGTCGTGACGTGGTCGTCGTCGTCGTCGCCGGGAAGAGAGAAGAGGACGTGGGTCGTCGTCGTCGTCGCCGGGAAGAGAGAAGAGGACGTGGGTCGTCGTCGTCGTCGTCGCCGGGAAGAGAGAAGAGGACGTGGGTCGTCGTCGTCGTCGTCGCCGGGAAGAGAGAAGAGGACGTGGTCGTCGTCGTCGTCGCCGGGAAGAGAGAAGAGGACGTGGATCGTCGTCGTCGTCGCCGGGAAGAGAGAAGAAGGACGTGGGTCGTCGTCGTCGTCGCCGGAAGAAGAAGAGGACGTCGTCGTCGAAGAGAGAAGAGACGTGGGGTCGTCGTCGTCGTCGCCGGGAAGAGAGAAGAGGACGTGGTCGTCGTCGTCGTCGCCGGAAGAAGAAGAGGACGTGGTTCGTCGTCGTTCGTCGCCGGGAAGAGAAAGACGTGGGTCGTCGTCGTCGCCGGGAAGCGAGAAGAGGACGTGGATCGTCGTCGTCGTCGCCGGGAAGCGAGAGAGACGTGGATCGTCGTCGTCGTGAGAGGGACGTGGATCGTCGTCGTCGTCGCCGGGAAGAGAGAAGAGATCGTCGTCGTCGTCGCCGGAAGAGAGAAGAGGACGTGGGTCGTCGTCGTCGTCGCCGGAAGAGAGAAGAGGACGTGATCGTCGTCGTCGTCGCCGGGAAGAGAAAGAGGACGTGGATCGTCGTCGTCGGGAGAGAGAAGAGGGATCGTAGAGGAAGAGGACGTGGATCGTCGTCGTCGTCGTGGAATCGTCGTCGTCGCCGAGATCGTCGTCGTCGCCGGGAATCGATCGTCGTCGTCGCCCGAATCGTCGGACGTCGTCGTCGTCGTGACGGGATTCGTCGTCTCGTCGATCGTCGTCGTCGTCGGGAAGGAAGAGGACGTGGTCGTCGTCGTCGTCGTCGTCGTCGTTTGGTCGTCGTCGTCGTGTTCGTTGTGGGGTCGTCGTCGTCGGAAGAGATGTGGGTGGTCGTCGCCGCCGCTGGGATGAGAGATGACGTGGATCGTCGTCGTCGCTAGGAAGAGATCATAGGATGTGGATCGTTACTGTCGTAGTCTTCGGGAATGGAGAAGAGTGTGTGGATCATCTGTCATCGTTATCTAGAAGAGATTAGACGTGGATCGTCGTCGTCGTCGGGAAGATGATGAACGTGAGGAGATCGTCGTCGTCGGGAAGAGAGGACGTGGATCGTCGTCGTCGGGAAGAGAGGACGTGGGTCGTGTGGGTCGTCGTCGTCGCCGGGAGAGAAGAGGAAAGAGAGAAGAGGACGTGGATCGTCGTCGTCGTCGTCGTTGGATCGTCGTCGTCGTCGGGAAGAGAGAGAGGACGTGGATCGTCGTCGTCGGGAAGAGAGAAGAGGACGTGGATCGTCGTCGTCGTCGGGAAGAGAGAAGAGGACGTGGATCGTCGTCGTCGTCGGGAAGAGAGAAGAGGACGTGGATCGTCGTCGTCGTCGGGAAGAGAGAAGAGGACGTGGATCGTCGTCGTCGGGAAGAGAGAAGAGGACGTGGATCGTCGTCGTCGTCGGGAAGAGAGAAGAGGACTCGTCGTCGTCGTCGGGAAAGAGAGAACGTGACGTCGTCGTCGTCGTCGGGAGAGGAAGGACGTCGTCGGTCGTCGAGAGAAGAGGACGTGGATCGTCGTCGTCGTCGGGAAGAGAAGAGGACGTGGTCGTCGTCGGGAAGAGGACGTGGTTCGTCGTCGTCGTCGTCGGGAAGAGAGAAGAGGACGTGGTTCGTCGTCGTCGTCGTCGGGAAGAGGACGTGGTCGTCGTCGTCGTCGGGAAGAGGACGTGGTTCGTCGTCGTCGTCGTCGTCGGGAAGAGGACGTGGTTCGTCGTCGTCGTCGGGAAGAGGACGTGGTTCGTCGTCGTCGTCGTCGGAAGAGGACGTGGTTCGTCGTCGTCGTCGTCGGGAAGAGGACGTGGTTCGTCGTCGTCGTCGTCGGGAAGAGGACGTGGTTCGTCGTCGTCGTCGTCGTCGTCGGGAAGGTCGACGTCGGGTCGTCGTCGTCGTCGTCGACGTGGTTCGTCGTCGTCGTTCGGGAAGAGGACGTGGTTCGTCGTCCGTCGTCGGGAAGAGGACGTCGTCGTCGTCGTCGTCGTCGTCGTCGTCGGGAAGAGGACGTGGTTCGTCGTCGTCGTCGTCGGGAAGAGGACGTGGTTCGTCGCGTCGTCGGGAAGAGGACGTCGTCGTCGTCGTCGTCGTCGTCGTCGTCGGGAAGAGGACGTGGTTCGTCGTCGTCGTCGGGAAGAGGACGTGAATCTTAGTCGTCGTCGGGAAGAGGACGTGAATCTTAGTCGTCATCGGGAAGAGAGGGGCGTTGATCCTCGTTTGCATCATCCGGTAAACAGAATTTAGATAGCGATTGCCGTCATCAGAAAGAGAAAAGAGGATTTGTATCGTCCTCGTGGGTTGAAGAGAGGACAGGACGACTTTCATCGCCTTGGTCGTTGTCTGTAAGAGAGATGGGGACTTGCATCGCCGTTGTCGTCTTCGGCGAGGGAGAGGTGTGAAAGGAGGACCTCGGGTCACTACGTCGTCAGTAAGGAATTGGTAGACATTGATATTCGTCGTCGCTGGGAATGGAGTAGAGGTGGATTGCCGTCGTTGTTGGGACGAGAAACGGACGTGGATAGTCGTCGGTAAGAGAATTTTTAGGAGAGAACATCGTCAGAGCACGAAAATGATCAGTGGAAGGTGTCGGCTTGACAAAATATGGCGGACGTGTCGGAAAACGTTTCATTGTAATCAACACTACCGCTACCAGAAAATACTCTCGAAGCAGGGAAAGAGTAGTAGTTGATGCTTATGGGAATTTGGTTTTCTGCTCAGCCTTAATCTGTCTACCGGATTAGTGCGTGGAGAAAGTATATGGTGGTCTACTAGGGTAATATTGTCAGTTTCGCTTTGTACTTTCACAAATGCCAAATTTCCAATCTACGATAGTGCGCATATTGTTCATTATATTGTTCATTTAGCAATGTTGTTCAAATGTTTGCTATTTATAGCTCCGAGGAGGAAGACGGACAAAATGACTATGGATTTAAATTCCCTTGGAAGAATACTGTTATTACATCAAGCTCTGCAAGTGATCTATTGCAAGAAAAAATGAAAATCAGATTAGTCACCGTTTCCTTTTAAGGGCTGCAATTTCACCAGCTCTGCAATCACTCTAGTGTAAGAAAATACAGAAAATCAGGTTAGTTACCGTTTCCTTCAAAGGCTGCTATTCTTCGTCGTTTTTATAGCAGTTATCGGTCGTCGTAGTTTCCCGTTATGGTAGCTGTAGCAGACTACAACCCCTTAGAAATATTGCGGTGGCCGTTGTGGTCAATGAAGGTCATCTCGTCTTGATTAGAGGTGTGGTTGCTGTTGCCGTTCATTACCTCTTGAGCTCAGTGGTTCAGTACAACTTCAGTGCTGAGGTGGCCGTTATCGTTCACATCCAGAATGCTATGGTGGCCACTGACGACCATCACATCTTGGATGCTGGATCAACAGTCGTCGCCGTGTGTGGAGAATACACTGCCGAGCTATGGGTCCTTGCCGTTTACACCTGACATCGTGTATGGTTGCTGGTCGCCGTCGTCGAGGGGGCTGGAGCGGCGCCTTCGATCGTGTTCTGTAAGTCCGGTTGCGGAGATCGGAAGAATTATGGCTGTCAACAAATCTCCAGTAAAGGTAAGGTTAATGTATCCTTCCCTATTTAGAGGGTAAGTATGTAATGTTACTTTCTGATATGTATTTCCCAAAGAAAAGTAGAGCGAGATGTAGCCTACTAAACCTATTAGTATGTGGGTCTTCTCTACTTTTGCTAAATTAAATTTTGTTTTTTTTTTCTGATTTTTTTTCCTCAAAAATTAAGGGTTACAGTAATTTTACACTTTCACTTACATTTCAACTGTCTTCATTCATCATATACTTTCACCCAAATTCACCAATTCCAGGTTCCCCCTTTTGGCTTGATTGTTGTGGCTGTGGGTCGAGCGAGCCAGACACTTTCCTTGGCAGTAGAATGTATCGGGGTTACAAGCGGCAGCATCTGTAGGCCTTGGACGGGACAAGACGAAGCACCAGTAGACATAGCAGACTCAACAGAAGGGGTCAAGAGGCGCTAAAGTTAATGTTTCACATCGGCAGGCAAACAGTTTACGGAAAGGATAGGTGACGAGGGATTAGCTTACCCACAATGATGTAGGCTTGCAGTTATCACTGATTGCAAGCGTATATTTATTCATTTCAAGAAAATGTGAACACCGGAACGTCGTAACAATCTTCGCAGCTAAACGTTGAATATCTTCACTAAGATGAACACTTGAACACGATTTGATTATTGGAAAAGAGTTTTAATGGTATTTTATTTGCAGTCTACATGCAAGTGTGTTCTAAAGAAAGAAAATTTCAATACTGAAACATTGAACACGGTCGTGTTTTTGGAAAAGCCATTTGTGGCAAAATTCTTCGTCAGATAATTGGCAAAGTATTTTTTCTTTGGATAATTTTACGTAAACGTGGAAACTTGTGCATGAGGCTGTAGCACTTGATTGATCACTTTGGCAGCTTAAGCTGGCAAGGTCAGTGTTCTGCAGTCTACATGCACATACCATATAGGAGACCCCCTAGCGTGTTGCAGTCTGCTTTGGGATTTTAAGAGTAATGCAACGTGGACCTTCGGCTTCAGACCTTCATTAGTAACAAGACCGTCCCATCGCCTCAGGGTTGGATAATTTTAATCTACATTCACTGCCCAGCTCAACTTCGGAATCCCCAAGTTTATTTCTTCAAATACTTCACGTTGCAGATGCGACTTCTATCTGCATTATCCCCTGTAGGAACCTGCACTTATTATCACCATGATCTTCATATCTACATACATCAGCATACTTCATCTACATAGACGTACTCCACAAATCAGCACCGGTCATACAACCTGCACAACCTTCATTAATATCTTTGTTTTCCTGTCAGCTCTATCAAATCTTTTACAATAAAAGATAAACAATGACTTTCTTTTTTTTGTACCCTTCAGCAACAATCAAACGAACCTGTCTTACAAAATATGGAAAGACTAGAAATAGCAAAACAAACTACGAACAAAAAAGTAAAACATGCTATAGCCAAAGATTCCGAAAGTAAATGAGCAATTAAAACATGTACTGTTGGTAATTTGTGCCAAAAGAAATATAAATGCTAATGTCAAAAATGGAACAGAAACGAAACGATAAATATACTGACTAGCCAAATGACACTAAACATAAGATTTACATCCCAACACTCCATATATAACGAATGATATGTACAACATTTTTAATAAACAATAAGCATGAATCATAAACGTTAGCTAACACCAGAAAGTTAGAATATAACGCTTACAAACAAGGATTTGAAAATGCTGAAACCTTAAAAGACGGAAAAGACATTAAAGGAGACTATCTGAATAGAAGGAAAGTATAGCATCCAAATATGAAATTACCGGAAAGATACGGAACAGTCAATGTGAAATGGTGCTGCTGAGCAGAAACAAAAACATTGATAGAACCCTCACGAAAGTAAGATGAGCAAATGGATGAATCGTGTAAACATGAAATATAAGTAATCAATCTGCCAACCAACCCTTCCCATTCATATTTCTGTCAAATTCCCTTAAACCTCGTGTTACTCAATCGGTAACTTTTGAAATCGAGTTGATCAAGAAATTTGTAACGAGTCAAACAGCTCTTCATCTACAAAGTTATTTATCCTCATCCAGACTTCCATCTATATCAGTCAAAAACATATATAAAGATCGACTTGCTGTGTAATTGATGCATAGCGTTTGTCAGTGTCCTTACCAAACAAAGAACACATTGTTGATAGTGTTAAAAAAGTTTTATTCACATGGTGTCATTCAATCGGAATTCATGAAGATATATCAAAAGCCACCTATTTCGGAATTCCTCAAGCTTCTGTGCTTAGTTCACAATATTGATTAAGAATCTCGACTATTGCAGTCAACTGTTTCTACTAGCCACTTACAAGAGTTGACAAGATATACGCAATTTGAACTCCTATTAAAGCCTCATAAAACAATATTATGGTCAGCCGTCAAAACATTGCTAAAACATACTGCACATGCCCTTTGAGATTCGCGTTGACATAATTTTTTATGGAACAATGGGCAGCTCAGTATATATAAACCTCAATGAAACATGAAATGCTGTTATACGAATTATGTGTCTGGATAAGAGCAAAACTCTATAATACGACAGCACGAACTAAACCATAAGGCAATATAAATAAATATAACCACGTTAGCCTAAATGCTAAGACAGTAAAACATGTATGCTATTCTCAAATGACTTTAAACAGCCAGATTAATACCGGAATATTGCATTGGGCAACTTGACGTCTATCTTTTACTATTATTATTTATAATGGGGCAGATATTCATCAAATTCTCTCTCTTCTCTCCTCACTTCGTCTCTCTTGTTCATGTTTTCTTCTCCTCTGTCTCTCTGTCTCTGTCTCTCTCACTCTCACTCTAACTCTCACTCTAACTCTCTCTCACTCTCTCTCTCTCTCTCTCTCTCTCTCTCTCTCTCTCTCTCTCTCTCTCTCTCTCTCTCTCTCTCTCTCTCTCTCTCTCTCTCTCTCTCTCTTTTTTACATATACAGTGTCTGTGTGTGTGTGTTTGTTTTTTCAAGATTCTGTAAAATCTTTGTATAAAAGACCAACTATAGCTTTAAGGCTGTTATCTCTTTCAGTACTCTGACATTCCCTTCGCTGCATAAATTACAGATAGATGTCTGTAAGAAAAAAAAAAACGATCTTAAAAAGATATAATGACCCAAACCAATAATTAATGAATTTAACAAGGGTCACGTATTCAAGAGATCAGCTGTAGGTTAATTTCTACTATCTGTTTCGGGAAATTCAATATGAATTACTCCCATGGCATAGATTATTCATTTGTGTCAACTGATGTACATGATCATAAATTCATACACAAATTTAAGTGCTAAGCTGATCAATATTTCGTATACGGAAACAATTTA